TGGTAATAAAATATAATATATTAATTTCATTTCTTATAGTGAAGTGCATTCTTTAGATCTTTTTACTTTTTTAAACTTCAATTTTAATTCGATCTGTATTTTTATTTACTTCTGTGATCTGGCTATTAGTAACTTTTAATTCTACAGGTTGTTCGACCTACAGATTGAAAGGATGGTGGTTGGGTACATTGGGTTTTCTGAATGTAAATTACCGGTGTTGTAACTTTTAAATGCTTTATAAATTTTAGGTTGAAGTAGAGAAACATTAATTTCTCTCTAAATAATCGTCTGTTATAAATGGTGAAATAAAATTACTTTCTTATTAGTCAAATTTCCAAGACCTGGAACGACTTAACCTTTAATTTGTATTTGTTTATTTGGAAGAGTATTTAATGTGCTCTTTGTGCCTCTTTTCTGGATTGTGTTTGCCCGTTCTTTTACAAGTATAGATTAGATAAGATAGATTAAAATGGATTTTCTTGGTTCTTCAAAGACACGAATACCTTCGAGATCCTCAACTTCACCATTAGCTAGGTCAGACAGTCTTGTAAGTCTGGATTACAAGTCATTTGTTTGTCCAAATTGTAATAGGCATTATGAATTTCAAAGTAAGTATTGTACTTCACATGTCCTATAAATTAGATATCTAATTTAATTCATATTAATTTCATTGTAGTAAGAAATACCATTCTTTTTGGAAGAGTCCCTCTTGTGCTAGATTGTAAACATACAATATGTGAAGAATGTGTCCATAATAGCTTAGCTAAAAAGATAGTTGTGTGTGGTGTATGCTCTGATACAAAAACTCTTGATGAAAATGAAAAGCGAAAGCCACAACAGATGTACTATACTAATTTTTATGTGCTTGGCCTAATGCTCTCAAACAAACCTGAGTCAGTATATTCAAAATTCAATTTAATACCATCTGGAGTGAATTACTCTAGTCGTAGAAGAACAGAATCATTCCAGTCAAACCGGTCAAATCTTTCTATGATGGATCTTTCAATGCCGCCAGTTACTATTCCACAAGGTTTGTATTTATTATTCCATTAATAAATATTATTATTAATTGAGATATTTCTTTGTTTCAGTTAATTGTTCTATGTTTACATGTACCTTGCCAGCAACTGTAAAATGCCAAAATTGCGATGAGATTTTCTGTAACAACTGTAGTATTCAATTGCACCAGGTTTCCAAGACCTTTATGAAACACACTATAGAGTCTTTGGAACCTGCCACTCCAGAAATAAATAAAAAGTGTAAAGTCCATTCTGATTCATTCCTTGATTTCTTTTGTAAGACATGTTCCACTGAAGTTTGCTGCTATTGTATTGTACAGTTTCATACTGGGCATGAGTATGAACAACTTACCATACTGGTAAGCATTTTATTTAATTAAGAAAAAGAAAAAAAGAAAAAGGAAAAAGGAAATATTTAATTGGTGTTTGCATTCACAAATATTCTGAAATAAATGCTATTAGTTGCCATTGGTTTCTTGACAATAAAATTACATTAATTAAATAAAAAGTTTTCATGCTAAATTAGAATTAGATAAAGAAAATTCAGTTTCAAAGCTTATTTTAAAATGGTTGCTAATCTACACTCAGTCTTATTACAAATTAAACTAAACATCCCATATTTTGTTACAGGAATCTTCAAAAACATCTCACTTTCAGTCGTTGGTAACTAAGGCAAATGACGTCCTGAAAATTATGACTGCATCACAGAAGGTAAGAATTTTTGTCTTCTTTTATTAACTTTAACAAGTTTAGTAAGGGTAAAATATTCCTGTTGCGTTAATTATTGCCCTTTTCTTAAAGGGTTTGCTGCTCATTTGGCACTACCGTTATGCCATCTGTTGTAATTTCGAGTTAATTACATTTAACAACGAATTGCTTACAATTTTTAAAACCGTTTGCGCCTTTTTTACCTGTAAACGAAAACAAAAACAAAAAAAATTGATTTTTAATTATTTATTGGTTTACTGGTCTTCTATTATCATGATTACCTACCTAATTTATACAGCTTGACTAGAAATAAATAGTTCTTAAGTTTTTTTACATTAATTTGATAAATTATGGCATAACGTATTTTGAAAAATTCACTATACCTATTTATGCAATAAACTTTGCAAAATATAATACACAATATAAGCTGTTGCGTGTTTCAAGTTATTAAGTAGGACACTGCAGGTAATAAATTAATAAAAAAGGCATTCCTGTGAAAACATTCTCTAAGCCTGTGGCAAAAAAAATTATTATCGAATTAACTCAGCAATTCTTTTTTTAATAAAGAAGCTGGGAATCCCTCGTTACATATGTCTACCTTGGTGAGTTTAGTAATTTTAAAAGGCTAACAACTTGTTTAATTAATGAACAATTACTGTTTATGAAATGGTTTTATAAATTTCGAAAGTGGATATTTGGGCTTTGCCATTTTTGTCGTTAATTATTATTTATTAATTGCTGTTGAAACCAAATTGGATAAATAACTGGTAGTATAAATAATTAATATTTAATAAATTACGTCGGGGGTTATTTTTTAACCTAATTTATAACACAGGCCGATTTATTGATTAACTTCCGATAAGGTAACTATCGATGGATCTATTGATCCATCTTCTTTTTTGTCCTTCGTCAAGGGATCGGTTTCTTCCGAGGAAGTCGTTTCTTCTTCGCTGTCTGCCTTTTGTTCTGATGGCTTTTTACCCTTTTTCTGTTTTTTCATTTTTTCTTCCATCTCTTTGAATTTTATCGCCAAGTATCTGAAAGTGGACATGAAATACGTATTTATTATTACTTTTCGATAGAAAAACGCTATTTTTTCTGTTCGTTAATTAAGCAATTAAAATCGATTTTATTTCGGTTGTTACTGATTAAACGGTTGGTTTAGATGAACATCATTGTTACAGTAGTTAATTAAAGAAACCATAAACAAAAGAGAAAAGTAACATTTTCACTTTTTTATTTTTGGGAAAACGCGGTTTCTTCTTGCGGTTTTATATATATTTTTGGTATATGGGACTACGTGAAATATTTTTTTCACATATAAAATCGTATTTTATTTTTTTTTGGGAAATAAACAATAATTTATGAAATTCGTGAACAGTTTGGTTTAAATAATATGATTTACTTACTTATCGACCAAGGGGCCACTATAGTCCTCAGGAAATTTAGGTGTAAGGGGTATGATGTACTTGTAGAGTCTCTCGTTGAGTACGTATAATTGTGGCGTATTGGCGCACTTGACGTTATACCACCAGTCGCATGTTAGAGCCACTTGGCTAAATGTTGTTCCGTTCGGGCACAAGAAGGATGCTTGACCACCGTTTAAATCACAATAATGCCAAACCTACACATAAACAATTAAATTACCAATGACTTACTTAAAATAAAAGTCCTGCAAGTGCATAATTTATTACCTGGCATTGTGTTTCTGGATCTGCGAAGAATCCCTTGTATCTTTGCGTATTGCAGTCGAAAGAGGTGTGAGGTATTGCAGATAAAGCAGGATAATCTATTCCTGGTCGTCCCGGGGTTCCTCCTTCGGGGGTGTCCCCCGGAAAGTTCTCACTCGATATAGGACCTTCCGCTTCATTTTCAATATCATCATATTGATCGTTGTCATTCGATACAACAGGTTGCAATAATTTCTTGTGTTTTTTCAACGAACTTAAAATATGAACCAACGTTTTGATGCTATTATCTATGTTCTCAACAGTAAATGTTTTGGGAAGGGTGTTCGTTTCTTGAAGCTTCTTCAATAAACTGTTTAAACTACTGTCGCTTTCCGAAGAATCGACTGAGTTTTTGTAATCTGACTCTGACGATCGGTCGTAGTCTAACACATTCACTTCTGGGTCTTCTTTATGATTCGTTGGTGATTGATAATTTGGTACCATTGTTAAACCCGTGTTAAGAGAGTTTTTCTTCGCAGTTTCCTCGCTTAGATTTGGAACTGAATCAGCGGAAGACGGGGTATTTTGGTAATATTTCATCGTATTTTGTGATATGATTTCGACCAATTTTGGTGGCACTGGTACTATTGAATCTGTTGTTTGCTGGTTATTCGATTCTTTTTGCAGTTTAGGCCGAATCGTAGAACTTATACTGGTTACTTTTGGCGTTGTTTGTTCCTGTTTTTGGTGCTTTGTTCCGTATTCTAATATCGGATATATTTTGCTAGGGTTTTCCGCCATGTCATCGTAATCGTTTCTGTATTCGTCTTCATAAACAATTGGGGCTGTAGGGTGATTAACATTACGGTTGATTAGTTCGTATTTTGGTTGTTGATGTGGTTCCTGCTGGATGTAGTAGTCTGATAGTTGAGGGTCATAATAAGATTGATGCTCGTAACCTGTAGTTCCATGTTGTTGATTGACTTTAATTGGGACGTACGTACTTTGGGGGTTGTCCTTTACAACTATAGGGTGTTCGTAGAAGTATTGGTTATTATTGTGCGTAAGGGCGCTCTCTTTGAAGGAATCGTAATAGTCGTTTTGGTGTTTTTTATTTTCTTGTACTTGTACCGGGTAAAATTCGTTGGGGTTTGTTTGGAAATAATCGTTTCTCAAAGGGGTTGGTGGTACGTAAATTATTGTCTTTGCTGGCTTGTTTCGGTCGTGGTTTATAGGGGGACCTTTTCCAAGGTTTCCTATCGCCTGAATCGACACAAAGGGTCTCGGAGCTAGTGGTTTGATCGATTTTATTCGGGTGTAAGTAGGTGCTTCTAATGAGTTGAGTTGAAGCATTTTTAACTGGGATAGTTTGTCGTATATTTCGCTAAAATTTGGGGGCGGGGGTGGCGGTTTTTTGGCAATGGGTACAAATGGACCTGGTTGAGCGTTGTATTTGGTAAACTGCACAAAAATTTCTTTTTGTTGTTTTTGACGATTGCTCTGGGGATTTTTGTACCTTTTGCCTGGTTCGATCGGGACAACGAAATGAATTTTTGGATTTCCTTCATTGTACTGTGCTACAGTTAGCATGCGATGATCTTCTATGGGGGCTTTTTGGGAATAAAATTCTAAATATGGCAAGATACGTTTGTACCTTTCGTCGTCAGTAACTGTGACGTTTTCGATTGATTTTTGACTTGATATCTTATACTTGTCGGTGGACGGGGAGGCCAACATCTCCAAATTTGTTTTAGACGAAATCTCTCTTACCATTATTGGAGAAACTGAAATCAAAAAGCATATTTTATTCATTTGATGTAAACATGTGATGATTACGTATGCTCCAACAAGGTCCACTTGTGTGGACAAAATCCTAAAATGTAGCATCGTGCTACAGATGGCGTTTACTGCGCCATTTGTAGTATTTTCTAAAACGCACTGTTAAGACAGCAGGTAAAAGTTGGTCTGTGTTCTGTCGGAGCTGCCTGCTACGCGCTGATGAGATCCAAAAAGATCGAAATCGCGATCCGCGTCTGTCAGTTTCGACAGAATACAGACCACTTCGAATTATTTTATGTTTGTTAACGTTTTGCAACAACGAAATGCAGGAAATACCTCATGTTAAAATACCGTTTGTTCTACGAGTCAATAAAATTGTTATTTTAGAGTTTCTATTGCTTGCTTGTGTAATATACTTTTCAGTAATGAAGCTATAGGAAATGGTAAAATTATAACACGGTTATTGGGTGCTTAAAATATATTTTTTATATAATAAAATGAATAAAGTGTATATAATAAGTATACTTAATAAAATGGGGCCTGAATTTGGGTCCTGAGAGACACCCACAAAAGAAGGTACTATGTTGCCTTGAGCTGTATTTTATTCTAGACAATTCGTATAATGAGATGATGAAAATTTAACTGACTATTATTATAAATAACCATTAATTTTTAAATGTAATAAACCAGACTTATTAATCGCTGGATTTGAAACGATTCAACACTAGAATTCTTATTTTACGTTTCAGTTTTATTTTTATACTTTTTTTATGTTCGTTAGTGGTAAGTATTTACTATTCTTTAAATGATTATGGGCATTCAGATTCGTGCATTGAATTGTTATTTTATTACATTATTTGTGTAACAACAAAAGGTTGCATTGAATTGAAAAGAAGAAATTGTTTCCTTATAAGTTTGTTTGGTACAACTTCTCCTTGATAAAGTGAAATTTTGAAAAGAAAGGAATCTTTTCAGTAATTATCTTGAACTTGTAGTATGCTAAGTGGTCATAAGTGTCGTTTATAAAGAACTTGGCAATCAGTTCAATATTTTCGCATTTATGCGATTGTAATACCAGTTTATGGTAAATAGTATTTCATGCTCTATTTATTTAATTAAATTATTTCATTAAATTTAATATTGTACATACATTTTAATGCCTTTCTTGCGTAATCGTTACCATTAGCTTTGCGAACCTACGTTTGATATCAATGGAGAGAAAGTGTATTTTATAATGGACTGGAGTCATGGAGAAAGGTTTTTTTTATTATAAAAGTAAATACTATGGTTGATTTAGCAATAAAACGTAGGTGCATGACTCAAATGCGTCTACATAACATTACCATTAGTATAAAGAAGTAATTTTTATCCAGTAGTTTAGGCGCTTATTAGCGACCGATTTAATTTTAAATTGTTAATAATATAATTCAATAATTAGTTTTAAAACAATTTAAAAACTATTCAGAGAATCTTCCTTTCTCTCAACCATCATTCATTCGAGTAAAATCACGAAGTGTTTCACCTCGATTGATTATACCATAGGTTTTTTTAATTGGTTTAAAAAGTAATTTTTGTTATTTGTTTTAACGGATTAGCCAAAGGTGTCCATTTCTTTTTCTCCATTGATTTTTTATCGATACTTTCACAAGAAAGTAGACTTACACAGATACGAATATGTTACAATACTTTCGTTTAGGTAAAAGTTTTACTTCATGATACGTACAGTAAGTGTTTTTAAGATTTTATTTCATTAAATTGGGATTCAATTTAATTGCAATATCGAATTGATATACGCCAGATGTACGAGGGTGGATTGATAAGTTTCCGGCCTGACCAAGAAAAACAAGGTTTTTAAAAATTTTTTTTTTTTATTTCTCAACATAATCTCCTCCAAGGCTGATACATTTCTCATAGCGGTGTTCCAGTCTATTAATGCCATCTCTATAGACTGATTCGTCAAGCTCCTCAAAATAACCATTTACAGCTTCGATTACTTCTTCATTGTCCGCAAATCTCTTACCGCCAAGCCATTTTTTGAGATTAGGGAACAGAAAATAGTCACTCGGGGCTAGGTCTGGAGAGTAAGGAGGGTGCGGCATCAATTCAAACTTTAGATCGTTGATTTTAGCCGTCGCAACGATTGACGTGTGCGCTGGTGCGTTATCGTGATGAAACAAGATTTTTTTCTTCGCCAGATGAGGTCGTTTAATTTTCACCTCGTGGCTCAAACGTTGCAATAAGTCTGCGTAGTATTGACCAGTGATAGTATTACCCTTTGCAAGGTAATCAATGTATATAATACCTCTTGCATCCCAAAAAACAGTAGCCATAACCTTGTTCGCCGAAAAAATTGTTTTTGCCTTCTTTGGAGTTGGTTCCCCTGGTCCAATCCACTGTTTAGACTGTTCTTTGGTTTCAGGAGTGTAGTGGTGGACCCACGTTTCGTCAACGGTTACGAATCGACGCAAAAATTCGCTTGGATTACGCTTATACAATGACAAATTTGCGGTAGAAATGTTTTTTCGAATCAATTTTTGGTCGACTGTTAGCAAACGCGGCACCCATCTTGCACAGAGCTTTTCCATATGCAAATGTTGGTGCAAAATATGTTGCACACGTTCATATGACATCTTACAGGTCTCAGCTATCTCACGCACTTTCAATCTGCGGTCTCCCAGCACTATTTGATGAATTTTTTCGATCATATCTGGAGTTGTGACCTCAACGGGGCGTCCTGAGCGAGGCCCATCAGAGGTGCTCACACGACCCTTTTTAAACTCGGAAACCCACTGCTTAACGGTTGAATATGACGGGGAGGATGTCCCCAGTGTTGAGTCCATCTCTTTTTTAATTTCCTTCGGCGTTAACCCCTTCAAATAAAAGTATTTGATGACAGCACGATTTTCCTGCTTTTCCATTTTTACGAAAACCACAGAGGCGTCTTGTTCAGCGTGCTGTCAAACCTACACTAGCAAGGAGATCGGGCTGAAACTATAGCTACAAGCTATCCAAGGATGGTACTATAGAATGTCACCTCAAGGTAGGCCTAGTGGCGTCATCTCTTGGTTAGGCCGGAAACTTATCAATCCACCCTCGTATAAAACTGAATATAATCCAAAATTCTTAGAAAACGATTCGAAAAACTTCACTTATTAGATGAATCCAAAGCTAAAGAAACTATGGATTCCATTTTTTTCTCTTATTACAATGTGTAAAAGATCGGAAACAAAATGGAGTTGTAAATATTTTGATATAAAATGATTGATGTTGATTTTACATCAATATAATTATTTGCAACCCTATTTTGGCTCTGATCCTTTACGCTAAACAAACTATCAAACCAAAAAAAGTAGTCGCATTTTGTATTTAAATACTTTTAAAAAACCATTGTGCACATCTCTATTTGAAACACATTACAATGATTACCAAAACATGCAAACATAAAACAGTGGCATGTTTTTAATTAAATTAGCAATTAAAGTCGTTTCACACTGGTGAAATTAGAATAAATCTTAGGCGACAATATTTTCGCGTATTCTCACACACAGGTGCCTAATTAATTTCAGAAAATGTCAACTTGGTCAAATTGGTCATCGCCGGGTTTCCGATTCGGTATCCGTCGTGCGGCCGCGCTGGTACGTCAGTTCGAAAATTCAAAGCCATTGTCAACGTCATGCTATGTACAAATATGTATTACGAAAAGATAACTTAACTTGAATAATAGCATTAGATGCAATTAAGTTGTCGGATACCAGGTTTTGCTCGAGGGCAATACAATTTAAAACAATGGGCGCAAGAACCAATCTGCTACGCTAACGAGAGAATCCAGTTGATTACGAGTCAGTTGCACAGCTACCTAATTAGTACTTTCCTAAATAACTAGCTAAAACTGAAGTTTAAATTGTTCCTGCGCTGCCGATGTACTTACTACCACCGACTGAATAGTAACAACAACCCGTTTTATCTAGTGCATCTTTGAAGACTTTAACTGGTACCTATATCATCGAAGAAAACAAGCAATATTGTATCAAACGCATGGCCCAAAAGTCACGAACAGTATCGGCATTGAACGTAGAGTAGGTAAATTTAGACTTTAGAGGTTTCTGCCTGTTGTCGTGGTTAAAATGTCAGTGGATGCTCCGTTTTAGACAGTCTCGTTGATTTCTATACGTCTAATTGTAAACTATTACCACTAGAGATGTACAAAATGGGTTTTTAAAAGTATTTCAATACAAAATGCAAATACTTTTTTGATTTGTTATTTCAAATGTAAAATACAAAATAGATTTCACGTTTGTATTTTAAATGCTAAATGCAAAATACGTAATATTCGATATTGTTTTGCGGCCAGTTTTGTCGTAATTCATAGAATTTCGTAAGTTCCTTGCTAAAAGTACGATAAGTGGTGATTTGGCAGGTGCTGATATCGATTTGCAACTTCAAAATTCCATGTAACATGATATTGAACCCAGAAAACAATCATCATCACAAGGTCGTCAGTCCTGAGATTGGTTGGACACGTACCTCCACTCTTTCCTATCTCGAGCTAAACTTCGCATTTCCCTAAAACTAGAACATCCTACATCCTTAACTATTTGCGAAGAGTAATCTAATCTAGGCCTACCTCTACCCCTCCTAACTCCTGTTTCTGCCTCTAATATGTCTCTGACTAGACCTTCATGCCTAAGAAGGTGTCCTACCAACCTATCTCGCCTATTTTTTATTGACTTCCATAGAGTCCTCTGTTCTCCTATTCTTTTCAATACCTCTTCATTTCTAACCTTTTCTACCCACGATATCCTCATCATCCGCCTATAACACCACCTTTCGAACGCTTCTAACATTTTCTTTTCCGCCGCGCCCACTGTCCATGTTTCGCACCCGTACAATGCCGTGCTTCAAACATACACCTTTAACAACCTTTTTCGAATTTCTAAATCAACCGTTTCGCGAGCATAGAAGAAGTCACTTTTTATTAAAGGCGACACGACCCTGCGCTATCCTC